CAGTGCAAGCCTAAGTAAGGGGCTCTGTTTCCAGAAGGAATATCTGCTTTCCAGATGGTGTTTTAGTTATACTACCACATCTGTGTGACATCAGGAGACTGAAAATAAGAAGTAAGGCTAGCAGGAAAATGGTGGGTGACTGCAACCAACCCCCCCCCCTCACACACACACTCTGGCAGGTGTGACCAAGTGCTCATATGTAGCAGGCTTTCTTTTGGCCCACCAACCAGCTCCCAAATCGTGACATGGAGACTTGTTATTAGTTATGAATGCTCATCTTTATCTTAGCTCTTGTTTTAATCTGTTTCTCTTTATACATGTTTTTCCTTGGGCCTTTTACCTTTCTTTAATTCTGTATATCTTACTTTGCTGTTTCTTCCGTGTCTGTCTGGCTTCTAACCCTGGGCATCTCCCTCTCTTTCTCTCTTGTTCTTTTCTCCTGAGCCTAGATTCCTCCTCCTGTTTATTCTCTCTGCCTGCCAGCCCCACCTTGCCTAGCTATTGGCCATTCAGTTTTTTATTAGAGCATTCAGGTGCTTTAGGCAGGTAAGGTGAAACAGCAACACATTTCATAATTAAACAAATAAGTCTAAGCAAGTGTAACATCTCTTTGCCTAGTTAAACAAATGCAGCATAAATAAATGAAACACATCTTTACCTAGTTAAAGAAATAGTCTGCACCACTCATATGCAGTGAAGACATACATGGACCCCCTGCAGCAACTGAGGCCCTTCAGAAGGACAACAGTCAGAATCACAGCCTTGGATTCCAAATCAACAATCAAGGGTTGTAAATATTTTGGGGGAGGATAATTCTATGGCTCTACTAAATTTGGGATAGATTTTTTTTCTAACATGTTCCCAAATAAATATCATGTCACAGCTATTTGCATATCTAGTACCTTGCATTAGAGACTCCAGATTATCTACAGATAGTTATAGTATATGAGAAATGTGTACAAGTTATCCGCAACTGTCATGCCTTTTTATATTGTGGGTTTAGTATCCACTGTGGGGGATGGATCTGAGACCAGTGTCCCTGATTGACGGCTCAGCCTGTGATTCCTGGCTCTGCAGGCCCTTTAAAATAAAAGTGGCAGGCAAGCAAGATGACTCAGTGGGTAAAGGTGCTTGCCACCAAGTCTCACAGCTGATTCCCACAAGTTGTCCTCTGACTTCCACATGTGTACATGTGTGACATGGTGCCTGCATGTGAGCACACTAGATAGATGATAGATAGATAGATAGATAGATAGATAGATAGATAGATAGATAGATAGATAGATGAAAGATAGATAGATAGATAGATAGATAGATAAATGTAAACTTTAAAAAAGTGTAACAAAATTATTGAAAGTCTTGAGAAATGGTCCATAAATGGTACCACCTGTCCCCAAATAAGCTGGCTGAGGGCAAGTGAGGGGCCAGGCCCTAGAAGACTTCTCCCTGGGCTCTGGACGGGAGCCCTGTTTGGGCTCCAAGGTCACTGAGCACAGAAAGACAGAAACTTAACTAGATCACGCATCCTTGGGACCTAGACACACTGATCAGATGCTCTCTTGTCTCAGGGGATTTCCCAGTTTCTTCCCTCTTCCTGAAGGGCTGCCTCTCCCTGCCCCACTCCTTCTCACTTCTGAGGTAAAGCTGTGTCCCTCCTCCATCTGAAGTAGCTGCCTATATAATAAGTTAGTCTCTCTCCCCGGAGGGTCACTTGATCCTCCACATCCTGCAGCTGTCTCTTCTCAAATAAAAGCAGTGGCTTCAGCTGTCACTGCTCCTTTGTCCCTCACATCATGTGCCTGGCATGTAGCAAGCGATCAGCACATGTGTGTTGAAATGAGTGAATTCCTCAACCACATGACAGACTTTCTAGACATCCCGAACCACCTGCGTTCTAGAACAGCAGCAGCAGCAGTGGTGATTGTTGTTGGATGTGTGGCTCCTGATGAGTCTGTCAAGATGAAACTCTCAACAGCCCCACAGGAAATCCTGAGACTGAAAAGAAAGCAAAGGCCCTAATATGGCGCACAACAGAGTCAGAACTCAGAGATCATTGACAGACACAAACCCATGAAAACTGATGATAAATATAAAACACATGAAAACTGTTAATAAATATAAAGTTGCAGACAAGAGTCCAGAGGACCAGCTTCACAACAATACAGTTGAGAAAGCTGGAGTTAACAGCACAGAAGAAAATTAGACCAAACAATTACCATCCCACCTTGAGGAGAGAACAAATGAAGTTTCCACTAATCACTCAAGACCAGCCCAGCCTACATATTGAGTGTAAGGCTAGCCTGGGCTACATGAGACTCTGTCTCAAACAAACAACAGCAGCAACAAAATTTTTCCAAAAATCTTGCATACTCTTAAGCTGACCACTTTGGCCCAAAGCAAACAGAACGTGTTCACAATGAGACAATGCCATCAAAACAGAGCTTGGTTTCCGGCAGGTGGTGGGGATATAGAGTTCAGAGATGGAGGAATTTTCCTTGATCTCCAGTACCCCCCCCCCGCCCCCCCCACATTTTTTTTAAACCTTTTTTTGTTTGTTTGTTTTTGTTTTTGTTTTTGGAGACAGGACCTCACTGTGTAGCCCTGGCTGCCCTGGGACTCACAATATAGACCAGACCGGCCTGGAACTCATAGAGATCCACCTGCCTCTGCTTCCCTAGTGCTGTGATTAAAGGCATTCACCAGTACAGCTGGCAAAAACCCAACTTTTAAAAGAAATGTACTCATTTATTTTATGTGTGTGAGTGTTTTTGCCTGCATGTATGTCTGTGTACTACAAATGTACAGTGCCTAAGGAAGCCAGAAGAGGGCATGGGATCCCCTGGGACTGGGAGCTGGTAGGGGCCACACTTAGTCACCATATGGGTGCTGGAAACCCAGCCAAGGTCCTCTGCATGAGTAACAAGTGCTCTTAACCACTGAGCCATCTCTTCAGTCCCCCCTGACACTCAATTCTTTATAAAGTCCATTGATATTAAAATGAAAAAGACGGGGCTGGAGAGATGGCTCAGTGGTTAAAAGCACTGGCTGCTCTTCCAGAGGTCCTGAGTTCAATTCCCAACACCCACAGGGTGGGTGGCTCACAACCATCTGTAATGAGATCTGGTGCCCTCTTCTGGCCTGCAGACACACATGCAGACAGAACACTGTATACGTAATAAAAAAATAAACCTTAAAAAAAAAATGAAAAAGACTAGAAAGGTTCTGAAGCCACATTCCAAAGGCAGAAACAGTGTCTGTCCAATCTGGAGAAGGGAGGGGCGTTTGGGCTGATATCTAGCCAGAGAAAGAAACAAAGACACGGAGCGTAATGGTTACCAGCTAAGGGCTGTGAGGTGGGATAATCCTTAGTTTGTCGCTGCGGTTCTCGACCTGTGAGTTGTGACCCCTCGGCGAACTTCTATCTCCAAAAATATTGACAATGTGATTCATAACAGGAGCAAAATTACAGTTATGAATTAGCAATGAAAATAATTTTATGGCGGCGGGGGGGGGGGTCACCACAACACGACGAACTGTATTAAAGGGTTGCAGCATTAGCAAGGTTGAGAAGCACTGGTTTAGGGTGACTATTGCTGTGATAAAACACCATGACAAGCGCAGGTTGGGGAGGAGAGGGTTTATTTGACTTCCACCTCCACGTCGCAGTTCATCACTGAAGGAAGTCAGGACAGGAACTCACACAGGGCAGGAACCTGAAGACAGGCGCTGATGCAGAGGCCATGGAGGGGAGCTGCTCACTGTCTTGCTCCACATGTCTTTCTCAGCCTGCTTTCTTACAGAACCCAGGACCACCAGCCTAGGGATGGAACCACCCACAATGGGCTGGGACCTCTCCCACCAATCACTAATTAAGAAGATGCCCTTCAGGCTTGCCTACAGCCCATCCTTATAGAGGCATTTTCTCAATGGAGGCTCCTTCCTCTCTGATGACTCCAGTTGCGTCGGATTGACATAAAACTAGCCGGGCGGTGATGGCGCATGCTTTTCATCCCAGCACTCAGGAGGCAGAGCCAGGTGGATCTCTGTGAGTTCGAGGCCAGCATGGTCTACAGAGCGAGATCCAGGACAGGCACCACGAAGAAACCCTGTCTCGAGAACAAACAAACAAAAACAAAAACAAAAAAAAAAAAACTACCCCGAACACCTACAGTGGGTGAAAACCAAAGCAATGCAGTTCTGAAGCTGTTCTCCAATCAATCAGCACTACCTGTGCTCACAATGATTCCTTTTTGTGACAGGGTGTGGTAGTTTGAATGTGTTTGGCCCCCATAAGCTCAGGGAGTGGCACTACTAGGAGGTGTGGCCTTGTTGGAGGAAGTGTGGTCTTGTTGGAGGAGCCTGGATGACACAGGCCTTTAATCCAGACCTTGAGGTTGGAGGGCACATCTTTAATCTGGGTCATACCTTCTGCTGGAAGTGTGTTACTGTCCGGGCAGCTTTGAGGTTTCATGTACTCAGGATACGGCCCAGTGTGTCAGTCGACTTCCTGATGCCTCTGAGTCAAGATGTGGGACTCTCAGCCCCGGGACCACGTCTGCCTGCACGCTGCCATGCTCCCTGACACGATGAAAATGGACTGAACATCTGAAACTGTAATCCAGCCCCCTCAATGAAATGTTTTTCTTTATAAGCATTCCTGTGGCCATGGTGTCTTTTCACAGCAATGAAAACCCTAAATGAGGTGACCCTAGGCTTTTGTGACTCAGGGATACTGCAGACGTATTAAAACCATTTGGAAGAACATTACAAGTGTTTCTCAACTATTACCTATTATTTTTGACCTACTATTAGGATTTTATCACCTATCTATTATTACTTAAACATAATTTTCTTTTCCTCCCAACCCTCCTCAGCTCCCCACCCCACCCCCCATAGACTATTGTGGTTCAGAATGTTCTGGAACTTAGCATATAGTCTAGGCTGGCTTGGAACTCATGCTTCTCTTTTAATGAAGCCTCTTTGCTTCATTGCAGGTGTGTACCACTGGGCCCTGCTTGAGTTGTTGAAATAACTTGGAGCATAGATCTAAACTGGGATTATAACAAGCAAATGGAGAAACCATCCAGTTGACGCTTTGGTTGCATAATGGAGGTACCCATCTGCCCATCACCTGCTCAGATACGCTGCTACAGGGAGACGCGAACAGCCAACCCCCACTTTCTTGAAGGTCTGTAGAATGTTATCCATTGATATTTCACAGTCGAGTCTTCAGGGATATTAGGGTGAAGGGAGTTTCTGGAAAAGGCCCAGGAACCTTGGTTTGACAGCAATAATTCAGCCTGGGACGTACTCTAGAAATAGACATTCCATGGTCTTTCTCACTCCATTCCCTCAGCCCCACCCAAAGTCACAAGGACAGAAAGGTATGTGTCTCATTTCACAGAATTCTTTCCTAACAGCATGTGTTTTATGTTAGTGAATGATGGGGTGTGTCCTGCCACAGAGAACCTTTGGAAGTGTGGTGGGATACAACTGGAATTTTAGCTCTTGGGAGGTGGGTGCAGGAGGATCAGGAGTTTAAGGTTGTCCTTAGCTGCATAGCCAGTTTAGACCATCTGTGGATGTATACGAGACCCTGTGTCTAAACAAACAATGTGAGCTCTCTTTGGTCAGCGTGATGCACAGCAGGCACTGAGAGCTGGACCCCTGCTATGCTGAGTGGGTCAATCAGAGCGCCTCTCCTGCTGGCACCCACGTCAGGAGGGTCAGGCAGAAGTCAGGAAAGTTTAGGGTCCCCCTGTCACAAGAAGAAATCATTGTGGGTGCAAATCCATGCTGATGCTGAGGTGTGATAGTTTCTAAACTCAGTGGAGGTTAAGACCTCAGGGGAATACATGCCAAATGTACTGCTTTCCTTTTAGAAGTTGCTCCTGCTGTGGCTTTTGCATAAGCTACAGAATGGTTACACAAAAAATCCTAGATAAGAAAACGACAGAGAAAACCAACTTTCAAACTCAAACCTGGAGCTCACTTCCAGAGGGAACTCCAAGGAGTCTAGAATAATTTCCCTAGGGTATGATAGGGCAGGGGCAGCAGCTCCTACATAGAACTAAATTCGGGCCATAGTGTGTCGTGTATACTGTGTTCTCCACCAACCCCCACCCTGCACCTCACCCCCTGCCCCAGAGTTCTGGCTTCTCCATCAATTTCATCGTCTCAGCCCATTAGGAATTCTGACATCCCCAGCTTTTTGCCGATTCCTTAACTTCATGTCCTTTAAACCAGTCTTCCTTTAAGGACATTTGAGGGTATGCAGTTTATTATAAGGGTGTGTGTGTGTGTGTGTGTGTGTGTGTGTGTGTGTCTGTGTGTCTGTGTGTGTCTGTGTGTGTTGGGGAGGGTGTGTGTGTATGTTTGTGGGAGGGGTGCACTCACCCAAGCAGGTGACTGACATACAAATGTCCTCTTCTGTCACTCTCTACCTGAGTTTTTGAGACAGGGTCTCTCACTAAACCTGGAACTTGCCATTTTGTCCAGACTGGCCGGCCAGCCAGCCCTGTGATCCACCCGTCTCTATCCCGCAAGGGCTGCGGCCATAGATACTCACTACCATGTCTGGCTTTTTATATGGGTGCTGGGGCTTCAAACTGAGGTCCTTGTTCTTAGGAAGCGAGCACCTTATCCTCTGAACCATCTCCCCAGCCCCCTTAACCACTGTTTTACGTTTTTCTCCTCCATCTCCCAAAATAGGCATCGGTTTGACTTTTGAAGTCAAAACACAAGCAGCGAATAAAATTGAGCTTTTTGCCATTGCACTTGGCACAGATTTTTGAGGCTAAGCAACCAGTAAAAATGCTATTAAGTTTTTCAAAAGAAGCCAATGCTGGTCCATTATCCTGTGAGTAATGTAGAAATATGGTCTGAAGTGTTTTTCTTCCCTCTGTTGCTGTGTTAGTGTGGCATTGGGTTCCAGTCTCTGGCACTATTGTAGCTGGAGAGTTTTCTCTCCAGCTCCGACCAATCCTGCCAGTCCCAGAGCCCACTTATAAAATAAACACACAGACTCTTATATTATTTAAACTGTTTGGCCTAATGGCTCAGGCTTCTAGCTATCAGTTCTTCTATCTTAAATTAACCCATTTTTAGTAATCTATAAGTTGCCACGTGGCTCGTGGCTTACCGGTACCTTACATCTTGCTCGTCATGGTGGCGACTGGCAGCGTCTCTTGACGCAGCCTTCCACTTCCCAGAATTCTCCTCTCTCCTTGTCCCGCCTATACTTCCTGCCTGGCCACTGGCCAATCAGTGTTTATTTATACAGAGCGATATCCACAGCACACTATCCTCAATCTTATTTCAAAAGTGAGGGAAGGAAGTGGCAGGGTAAGTGTCTGAGGGTAATGAGCAAGATATTTTCCCACCCAGATCACCTCCCCCAGCCCTCAGTGTGTCACTGTGTGCAGCCCCCCGCTGGTCTGGAATTTATGCCCTCGTCCGTCCTGTCTCAGCCTCCTGAAAGGTAGAAGTACAGGCACCCACTACCATGCCTGGCTGTTCCAAGCTAGGATGTGAGGTCATCGCCGTTGGCTGCTTGGCTCTGTGTTGCCTCCAGGACATGCTCACCCTGTCCCTGACTACACTCAACTCCTCCAGTAAGTGGAGGGAGCTGCAAAAAACCAAATGGGTGTGTGTTCACTAAAGACAAGACAGGGTCTGAGGTTCCTGAGTACAGGTTTGCTCTGACTTTAAAATGTGTCCTCACAGTGACAGAGGGCAGAGAAGAAGGGAAGCCTGAACGGCTCAAGTCCAGTGGCTGAAGAAACAACATAGAAGAGCAAAGAATGAAGCTGTCACCTTTCAGGTACATCTTACAGATACTTGGAACACGTCTTTCCATCTCTAGACTAGTGGCGGATCCTAACTGGGCTTGTAGTTAGACAAGGAAGAAAATTTTTTACTGTTAGTCTCTAAGCCAAGTACAAACCAGACCTGACTTTAGGTTCCAAGACTAGACAAGTCCGGGGCAGTGTGGCCATAGTCATTACAAGCACAAAGCTGGTCATCAGCTGAGAAAAATGACATTTATCGTCTCCAAAGTAAAATGTGAATTTCCTCTCTAACTCAATATTTTGAATTGAATTTCTTCTCGTCCTTTTATGACACACATCAAGATTGAACTGTGTTTTCAAAATGTTTATATTGAAGCTGGGAGCTGGCTCAGTGATGAAAGGAATTTATTGCTCTTGCAAGAGATTCAGGTTTGGTTCCCAGCACCCAAATGACAGCTCACAATTTCCTGGCACTGGAGATCTGGTACCTTCTCTAGTCTCTGAGGGTACCAGGCACACAGTGCTCATATCTACATGCAAGCAAAATGCACACATTAAATAAAATAATCTCTTAAAAAAATTATATCAACAGCCTGGGCATACTTTCATGGTTAGGTAGGATCCAGATATTTTATAAGCAATACATGTATTTTTGTGAATTATCAAGATAAATGCAGAGATGAAGGTTCTTGGAAAAAACAGAAAGGAGAATTCTCTTTTACAGACCACTAACTTTGCAATCTACTTTACTCCATTTAACTCTTATTACTATTATTATTATTATTATTATTATTATTATTATTATTATTATTATTTTGTGGTCTGATTGTTCTTTATTTTATATCTAGAATCCACCTATAAGTGAGTACATACCATAACTGTCTTTCTGGGTTTGGGTTACCATACTCAGGATGATTTTTTCTAGTTCCATCCATTTAACTGCAAATTTCATGCTTTCATTGTTTTTCTCTGCTGAGTAGTACTCCATTGTGTATATGTACCACATTTTTTTCATCCATTCTTCCGTTGATGGGCATCTAGGTTGTTTCCAGGTTCTGGCTATTACAAATAGTGCTGCTATGAACATAGCTGAGCATGTATCTTTATGGTATGAAT